ACAAAACTAAACATATCAACTTCAAAAGAGAGTACAGATCCTACGAGACCCAAAGAAAGAAGATAAAAACGACGGGAGACAATCCTTCCATAAGAAAGGTCCCAACGACGACAAAGCCCTTTTAGCTAAATAATGGGCAACAAAATTCTGATTTATAGCAATATAGCTACAAGACCCACAATTAAGGTTTAACAAAAGAGAGAAAATATCCACAAAAACTTGATGCAACGAGTCGTTAGGCGAATATTCAGAGTGGCCACAAATAACCGCTAAAGCATCCGTCTTAGCAAATTGAATGGAAATCCCCAAATCAAAAACGTAGCGAAGTCCAAACCTGAGGGTAAGAGCTTCTACTGCGAAAGATGAAAAGGAGCCTGGAATGCGAACTTCAAAAGTTGCCCAACAAACACCTTCCGAGTCTCCAATCCATCCTCCCAACCCGATCTCTGAATCTCGGACCGCGGCATCACAAAATAACGTGAGACCATTTTGGCAACTCCCAGGGCCAATCCACCTATCTATTGATGGTGTAAGCAGAGCCCGGTCGGACAAGAGACGTCCCGAACGCCATTTTGAGATTTCTTCTTGCCACGTCAATCCTAGTGACCAAGCTTGTTCCACCGTTATACCTTGTAGCCCGTGTTTAAGGCGGTTCCTTTTATTCCAAATAATCCACAACAAAGAAGCAAAATTTGGAAACTCATCCCCTCGATCACAACCCAGTAACTCACAAAAGATTGAAGAGGACCACAAACCTCGTAATGGAGCAAGAATGTCCCACTAACCTGAAGCTTTCCACAACCGCAATAAAAAATATATGAACGTTAGATTCCCAACCCGAACATCTGGGACACTGTGCATCCACCTCGATATGCCGCCTAGCAAGATTTTCCTTGGAGGGAATTGCCGAGTTACTCACCCTCCAGAGGAACATTTTAAACTTTGGTAAAATCTTCAATTTCCACAACGCTTTCCACCACCCGTTTTTAGAAGAAGAAGTTGATTCCCTGGACTTAGATGATTTATGTTTTAGCAAATGGTATCCACTCTTCACTGTATAATCGTCTTTTTGGAGTAGTGCCAAATAATACGGTCAGGATTAGGAGTCGAGCTCAGAGGGATTGAGAAAATTTTGAGCGAGTCAATTGGCAAGAAAAATATGATTGATCAATTCATGGTTCCAATCCTCATTCCTCCCAACCAGTTCGCTAACCCGATCGATGCCCGTCGCCAAATGATAGAATGGCCTGAAGCCTTGGAAATGGGGAATCCAAGGATCTAAGAAAACTCTGATGGACTTACCGTCCCCTACTCTCCATCGTATACCCAATTGAATAACTTCTCGGCCCCACACGATGCTTCTCCAGATGAAAGAAGAGCCCGGCCGAACACAATCATAAACTATTTTTACTAAAAAAAATAATAATAAATAAAAAAGTTAAAAACACGTTACCTAGTTAGTGGTTTCTTAGAAGCATCTTGCTTTGCCATATGGATTAGTGTAAGCAATTAATGCAAAGTAGATTAGTTAACGGTCTTTGGATCTTGCAAATGTCAAGGTTGTAGTCACGTGGGCCTTTTCACTAGTTACAGACATTTTGAACACTTCTAAATGGAGAAATTCTACTACAAGGTCTAACTTTTAATAATTGTACTACTTAGGGCTTGATTTTTTTATTTTTTCAATAGAAAACTTATATTTTAGGTTATTCTTATTTTAAGGTTTACATTTTAGTTAACTTTTCATTATAAGGCCCAACTAATTTTACTTTTTCATATAAATATATAAAACAACTATTATGTGAATAAATTATTATTATTATTATTATTATTATTATTTTTTTTTTTTTTTTTATATTTTTTAGTGAATTCAAAAAATATGTAATGGAAATAGTATTTATATTAGTAATATAAATCCTCCCTATATATAATTTCCGAATGCGCTGAGCCTACGTGGCTGCTTCTGGTGCTTCGGAATCCTACTTGGCGAAGAATCATGCTTCGTAATTAGGTTTGCACAAATGTATTGATATATTAATAATTAATAATCTAGGTTCAGATATTCCATAAATATTATTTATCTAACTTAGGTATTTTAATATCACTTGTACTAATATAACCCTTTAATTATGTGTAATTTTACTAGTGAGTCACTAATTGACTAATATATCTTTGACTTTGATTTGTTTCCTTCAATTAGCTATTGAATTGTAAATGTATTTTAAAAGTTGATAATTTTTGTATTTCTTACCGGTTTTACATATATTATATATTAAATTAATCATCTTTTGATGATCTTCGATTTGACATCCATATTGTATATATGAAATAAATAAATTATATTTATCTTTATAATAATAAAAAATATTAATATTTATTAAAATTCATTAGAAAAATAAAATTATTTATCAATTGATATATTTATTTTTAATGTAGGTATATGTTGTAAGTGTTGATAAACGGATTTGATCAACTAAATTAATATTAAATCTCAGAGATTAAGATGGGATTGGGGTTGTTTTATTGATGTAATACGTAATTCTTGCTAACTGACACAAGGCGGTATTTTTGTCTACAAGTCGGTTTTTTTGTGTTTCAAGTAGTCTATTGTACGCTTGAGCCGAGGTGATAAATACAGAGTTTAATGTGTCGGAAAAAAATCCTCGTATCGAGTTTAATGCTGCTATTTATAGTAACTGAGGACTCGTCTTTTTATGAGAAACGACGACATTTAATGCGGTGTGACAAAATAGGTCAGGCTTTCTCTGCAAGTGGGTCCCGCACAATGATGTTCTCACGTGGTTTGAGACATTTGGTAGACATGCATTAAATGCAGCCTGTCGGCACCGACGTCAGCCTTTAGGGACGTCGTTCCCATTTGAGTCGGCTTACTGAGGAGGTCGGCACCTTTAGAGAGGTCGGTTTCT